CGCGCCCCGCCAGCCCATAGCCTCACGTCGTCATTGGGCCGTTTGTGACCTTACGCTTCAAGATACGGCAAAACGGACAAAATTTCTGCCCTAGAAGGGCCGTAACTTGCCATTTTCCTTCAGAATTGATGTGTCGCTTGCCAAAATTTTTGAATTTTGGGTTTAGGCCCTTTAGGCCCTTCGAGGCACGGGTTAAAATTTTTTTAAAATTTTTTCCTTTTAGGGGGTTCATTTAGAGACTACATAGAAACTTTTTAGGGGTTGACCAACTTGATTTTCGCAAAACTCAAAAATAAGGCACACCCTAGGGTGAGGGGGGCGCAGCGCATGCCTCCCTCCATTCGCCTGGCCCAAAATTTTAAATCTATGTGGACGCATTTTGAGGCTTGTGTGACGGAGATTTTCCATCAATTTCTTCAGGAAAATCACGTTTTTCTTCCGTTCAGCAAAGAATACTTCCGAATCGTTTAATTCACTGGATCCGGATAGTTTTTGAAATTTTAAATTTATTCGGACGCATTTTGAGACTTCTGTTACGGAGCTTTCTTATCAATTTATGCAGAAAAATTACGCTTCATTTTACTTTCAGCACAGAATACTTTCAAATTTTTGCATTGAAAACATCCGGAAAAGTTTAGAAATTTTAACTTTATTTGAAAGTATATGGAGACCCCCATGACGGGAATTTTATAAAATACTAGCTGAATGGACACGGTTCTTATTCAGGACTCTACATTAAGAGCAGAGGCGGACCGGACTTGCTTCTCGAAGCGGCCTGAGAAATCGCCAAGAGACAGGGCCTATCACGGTGCCGAGTTGGATCCCCCCTCCCCTTATTATTTTCCGATATTAGGCATAGGCGCACATGCACCTATTTTGTAAAAAATGCCAAAGTTAGGTTTGATTGTCAGAGTTCATTTTTGAGTGGATGTGATACCAAGAATATCTCCCTCAAAAATTTCCTCTCGGAAATTTGTGCACAATTGTGATAAAAAAATAAAATATCCACTTTTTCTCCCTGGAAGTTACCTAAGTTCGGCGATTTCCAGACGATGGAACGCACTGAGAAAAAACTATGGCTTATAAACCTATTAGAGGGAAATATGGAACACCACTAATAGTAGTACCTCTACATATAATAATAGCACATATACCTTAGTTATGGTCTCTGTACCTTAATTAGGTACAGAGACCTTAGTATGGTTCACAGACCGAGAATCATTAGTTTATTTACGACTATTATAGGTGTTCCATATTTACCACTAATAGGTTTATAAACCATAGCTTTTTCTCAGTGCGTAACAGCATTCCAACTTGAAAAAATTCCACTCGTAAATCATATTTTCGCCGGGAAACTTACGGGATTGCAAAATCTCAACGATCTTGTGATCCTAGGATTGCAAGCTCGTGTGCACTGAGTTCGGAAATGGTGTACACCACACTGAGAAAAAGCTATGGTTTATAAACCTATTAGTGGTAAATATGGAACACCTATAATAGTCGTAAATAAACTAATGATTCTCGGTCTGTGAACCATACTAAGGTCTCTGTACCTAATTAAGGTACAGAGACCATAACTAAGGTATATGTGCTATTATTATATGTAGAGGTACTACTATTAGTGGTGTTCCATATTTACCTCTAATAGGTTTATAAGCCATAGTTTTTTCTCAGTGCAGGAGCGAGGTAGGTTCGGCAAAACACAACTTACCTACGACTTGAGCACGCACTGTGGTATACGCGTAATGCATGAAGTATCCTGCAGACTTGTAAGGTGCTACTCGGCGTCGCGCGAGCACCGTGCTGTACGTGCAATGCATGAAGTATCCTGCGGTCTTGTAAGGCGCCAATATGCGCCGTGCGCGCTAGCCCCGCGCCGGCTGCACTGTGTTGACGGGATTATTCCAACTTGCGGCATTACCGATATTCAGCTTATGGTTTTGATGTTTTTGTACAGTTTATTAGATTAATTTCATTTCAAATGGTTAAACATTACATGAAACCTAACTAATTTTCTTCTCTTTATTCACATATTTTCACAATATAATTTTAAATAGATGCATGCAAGTGAAACTACTTTTACGCGTAGGCTCCCTCGTTGCTCAGTGATGTATTGGTGATCATTTGAACTACATTTTACTATTTGGAACCACAATTTCTGGCTCATTTGCAAAAAGACTTGTGTGCACAAGAAGACTAACGGTACTTCGGTACATGTGTTGTTCCTAAATAAAGCCAGAAATTGTGGTTCCTAATTGCAAAATGGAGTTAATTTGACCAATGAACCTTTTTGAGGCGAAAGGTACGGATTTGACGAAGCGGAGGGTATGGATTCGATCGACATAAATCGATCGAAAAGTAGGAACGTGAATCGATCGACATGATTCGAGCGATACCGATTCTAGCGAAAAATTATTGAAAAACGGTGTCGAGTTGATCGACATGAATCGATCGAAAAATAAAATCGTGGACCGATCTATGATCAAGCCTA